AGGCGCCTCTCCGTCTCTCCCGCGAAGATCGTAGCTTGCCAGATCTAGTAAGTCTCGTGACCTGACCGCGAGCGGCCTCGTCGGCCGTCTGGCATGGCTCTGGCAGCACCTGGGTCAACCACATGGATGTGCCTGGTTGTAAGGTTGTATTTGCAGATGGTGTCATCACATCGGCACATCGCCTTCATTGTTTCGATGAGATGTGCGCACTCGCACGCTCTAATGGCGGTATTAGATGCGTTCCAAGCGGGAAATACTTACTGTGCGTTATGTGCCTTCAGCTAGGAATGTTAGACACTTGCGTAAGCAGACAATGACAGAAGTCTATGTATGATTCCTTCTTTTTAACAAAGTGGTGTTTATTTGCAGCTGAGCCGCTGGATTGACCGGCAACGGCAATGTACGCATCAAACGTCACGTGCACGCAGCACCCATGCGCATAAATGGCACAGGTTATGCGGCACATGTGTGATATGGTTGTACGGGCGCTACGTAATACAAACTAGTATCAGGAAACCGTCGATTTCTTAATGTCGACATTGGGAGTTCTACACTGCAATCAGCTGCCGAGGCTCAATAGCGCCGCCTGTCCGTCACGCTGGCAAGGACGCGGAGAACTGGCCATTTCAAAATATTGCTCAGGTCATTTGGTCAACGTGACAACAGAGCATCTTATCAAAATTAGTATAACACAGCTCACAAACACTGAACAATTTAATGACCAGACCTAAACATGCGCAGTAAGCAAAACAAAAGAAAGACAGGTTAAAATTGCATCCTACGAACAAAGCTGGGGACCACATGGATGCTAGCTAGGCACTATATTAGACAGCTTCGGTGCGCTGCTGATTAAGTAGTATAATCTTTCTGACAACAAAAACCCACCTCACAATACAAACTATTGAAGGGCACAGCAACATATCCTTAAATTAGTTCTGTGTCCATCCTGGAAGTGTTAAACTTGTACTATCAATAAACATATGTCCGGAAATGATTTATCGCGTTTTTAAAGTCTTTCCACGTTTCAAGGTCATTTTCGCCATTTTTTTTCAGTGGTTTGCAGTGTACTCTGCATTATTAGGGACCATAATTTAGGGTACGATGCACATATCGTCCCTTCAGCAATGTCATTAATAAACCGACTCACATATGAGCAAGGTAACCAAGAGTTCGCCAGCCGCCGCCGCAGCAAGGTTAAAAGGCGGTGCTGCGCCATTTTAAGGACAGGCAAGTAACATTTCTCCCTTTGCCAATTTCGTTTCAAACGGTATTATATATGCAACGATCGCTAAATTAAGTGAATTTGCCCAGCTCCGTAAAATAAGTAAACTTACCCAAGATTGGCGATTTTTCATGTTCAACGGCCAAAATGACTTGATAACGTTAGATCACGTAATTGATCCGAGGCGCGTTTTCGCCACCAGCTCAACCGCCCCCCAAAAATAAAAGAAGTTTCAATCAAGGCTTACAGATGCACATAAAAGTAAAGCTTTATGGACATTCATTGGTGCATACTTCAGAAGAGTGCCAGGCTAATTGCAGTCTTTTTTCCCCACATGAGAACTGCAGGCAGGAAGATTCCATAAACGCATGGTGGTTGTCGTGAATCGAAATAGAAGCATCAGATGCACGTCCGATTGCCATTACATACGATATCGGGACGGCATCTCATGAAGAATCGTTTCACCACCATCATTATGCACCACTACTTGTAAGAATGCGTCGGCGAATTTCCCCGTCCTTATCTGAAGAGGCAAATAATTAGCAACGGTACGCGGCAAATTCCCGCTCAACTTATAAAAATGCAGGTAAGTTTCGTCCTTGAGCCATCGTTCTGGCCGCCCGCAAACACGATAAAGAAGCAAGGACGAAACGTCATGCTCCGCATGTTCTTTCCTTCCCGTCCCTGGCACCAGGCATTTACCACGCACGCCCAGTCGCGTCCGAAGTTCCTATCATCCCTGACGGTCGCACTGAGCGAAAAATCCCGGAGCTCACAGACACACATATTCCTCGGCCACACGGAAAAACAAGAGACAGGAAGATTCATCGACAAAAATGCCAAAGATACTGGATTTCAGATAATCCTTCGACAAAGTTTCAGGGAAGATCATGATCCTCGAGTTTAAAACTAACAAAATTCCAAACAAGATTACGGATCCTGGAAGACTGTTGGGAAGAAATAAAAATGGAGCACAGATCCCAAATATCACACAAATTGCACGCACTTCGAAATAACTCTTGAACCCCAGCATCCTGGAAGATCCAAGATCCTGCACTCAAGAATCCGATCACATGTTCCATTTCAGAGGTATATAATACCGACCTAGCTTTTTCACCCGGCACATTCCGCCGTCCTAAGTCCGCGAGTGTTTTGCCAAGTGGTGGCCCAAGCATATTTGGTTTTGGAGACCAAATACCAAAATTTGCGCATAAATGCGCCTTTGCGCACAAATTTGCGCAAAAAAATGTGTCGCAAATTTTGGAACAGAAACAAACGAGATTTTTGTTACAAGTATTTCAATACTCTCAATACTCAGAGGAATAATTCATAAAAAGGAACGTAAACGTATGGCAGTTGCCGAGTCTCGAACCCGTGACCGTTTCGGGAAATCCAATCAAGTGCCAACTTTGACCTCTCTGGTAGCGCATGATTTTTGTTCAAAACAACACGGGGAGCGGAAGGAATTTTCGGGATATTGGTGACTTATGTTGAAAACGCGCGACATATCCCCACTGGACTCCATGACACCACCTGAGCTTCTTCATTGGCGAATAAACCCTACTACGCTGGACGGAAAATTATTGCAGCACAATGCGATCTGGGGTCTGGTGATGATATCATTAGCTCAAACGTGCTATAGATTACTCATATTTCAACTGCGCATAGCATTCTATGACAGCGTAGTGATGCAAATACTGCCAAATCCCACGCTGCCAATTCGTGTGCTTCACACCCCAACGTTTCGAACTGTCGCATCGGGCATCGTTTTGAAAGAATTGCCTTAAATTTCCAACTCGTTCACATTTTTTGTCATGTTTCGGGCCTTAGTCACGTTCACAGATAACACTGGTCGGTATGTTAGGCACTATATATGTATACATGCATCTATATATATATATATATATATATATATATATATATATATATATATATATATATATATATATATATATATGCCACAAACGGTGCAGCTCATTTAGCATGAACACATTCTGATACACGCATGCGCATGTAAAACCCAGCAAACAAATACCACGATCACTGTCACTTGATTGCTGGCTGGGCAGGTAAATGTATTTGTGTAAAGGTAGCAAATCTCTGTGGGTGACTAGCTGGGAGCACTGGAGTCCTCGCAACGTACAGCCGGCTTCCCAAATGCAACACCTAAATATACCGTCAGGGTGCGCGGCGGCTCGAGTTTACGGGCCCGCCCTGCACAGAGAGCTGTGTGCATGACCCCCGGCCACCCCTCAGCCGCGTTTTGACCCGCTCCGCCCGCTCCACCGCCCAAAACTCGCTGCTCAGCTCTGGCCAGACTCCCGCCCCAAAACAGGCGGGACGCTGTCGTGCGCATCACGGCAGCCATCAGCTGTCATGCTGTCCACCGTCCACTAATGCCGCCGTCAAGGTCAGCACCATCATGGCGGCCTGCCCATGGCGGGTGCAGCGTCCGCCCACTGCGGCCCGAGCACCACCCCCGGTCCGGTCCAATGGACCGCCCGCCGCAGACAGGCACGGCCGGCCGATCCTCGGACGCCTGCCGACCGCGCCGGGGTCACCAGCAGCCGGGCCACAGGGCAGGGGACGGGGCTGGCGGCTCACGCCCCGACGCCGAGCGGGCAGGGGCCGGGACAGCAGATGACAGATGGGGACTCGGAGCGGCCGTGCGCCGGGGAGTGGGCGTCTAAACTATCACATCGCCACTCCGTGCAGTTGGGCTTACACATCCCATACATCTTTACCACTCACGGGTTGTGAGGCGCGTCGACTGCAAATGGTCAGTCAGCTTGAACACTCATCAAACTGGCACAGAATGGGTGCATATGTTGCGTAGACACCTGCATATAGACAGTGGAAGCAAGTCATAGGTATGGGGGGAGGGGGTAACAAGAGAGTACCTTGATGCCTCACTCAGACAATTTTGGCGACTTCCCACTAGCCCGTTAAGATGGGTAGCATCTCGTTGCAAAACCGGACACACAACAACATCAGCCTGTCATGTATTTTGGAAAACATGCCTAGAGAAATACACACATTAGGAAGGTGACAATAAGTACTTCATTTCATCAAAACTGCGCGCATCTCAATTCTGACTATGGCTATACTGCACTGTAAACAATAAAGCAGTATTCATAAAGCAATATTCCCAATAACAAGAACCCAGAACAATAAATAGCACATCACACAAGTTTAAATAGACGTACAAAACCGCATGACTATCAGAAGCCATCGGAAAATCACCCGATCACGGTGGCAATAGCATATGCTACAACCAGGTCACGCATTAATAAAAGGCGAAACGGTGCAAATGCAGCCCTATCACATCGGACCCCTCTATACCTACCGATTCAGGCTAACAACGAATCGCGCAGGCCAAAAGAGCAGGAATGGCCTTACTTGGCTTTGCGAAAGGGGCATGCGAAGTGCCGCTGCATCCACGGTTCAAAAACCACTTTGACTGCAGCTTGCACATTTTTCTTGGCACCAGTGCCAACTGGACTCTCTTAAACTATCGGTCTCGTACCCAACTATTCATTCAGGCAAACTGGGCCGTGATGATGATGTTCACATCCAGCCTGGACATTGTGCAACGACCATCTCCAACCTGTCACATTCACGCATCAACAGTCTGCAGCCAAACACACATCATCGTCACGCGTGGAGAGCTCCGTCGGGAGCGGGGCGCGTGGCGTCGGAGGAAACTGCGACATCAGAAAACGCCTCCAACGCTCGGTGACCTGGGCTTCGAGACGACATCGGACCCAAGAGCGGTGGCTCAGACATTGGTGTCGACGGCCGCTGACATCGTGTTCGATGCGGAGAGAAGGAACGCCGTGATCCTCCGGAGCTCCGCCAGCGCCAGATTCACGGCCGTTGAGCGCACAACGGGCGGGTCGGCGTCGGCCGATTCCTCGCCAGAGGGGGCTTCAGCGGCAAGTGCTTCCTCTGCGGAGGAGGCATCGGCCAATCCCTCGACGGAGGAGGCGTCGGGCGCTCCCTCGACGGTGGAGGCATCGGCCGCTTCCTCAACGGAGGAGACGTCGACCGCTTCCTCGACGGAGGAGGTGTCGGCCGCTCCCTCGACGGAGGAGGCATCGGTCGCTCCCACAACGGAGGCTGTGTCGGCCGTTTCCTCGGCAGAGGTGTCGGCCGCCCCTTCGACGGAGGAGGTGTCGACCGCCCCCTCGACGGAGAAGGCATCGGCCGCTTCCTCAAAGGAAGGGGCGTCGGCCGCTCCCTCGACGGAGGAGGCATCGGCCGCTTCCTCGACAGAGGATGTGTCAGCCGCTTCCTCGACGGAGGAGGTGTCGGCCGCCCCTTCGACGGAGGAGGTGTCAGCCGCTCCCTCGACGGAGGAGGCATCGGCCGCTTCCTCAATGGAAGGGGCGTCCGCCGTTGCCCCGACGGAGGAGGCGTCGGCCGCTCCCCCGACGGAGGAGGTATCGGCCGCTTCCTCGACGGAGGAGGTGTCGGCCGCTTCTTCGATGGAGGAGGTGTCGGCCGCTTCTTCGACGGAGGAGGTGTCAGCCGCTTCTTCGACGGAGGAGGTATCAGCCGCTTCCTCGACGGAGGAGGTGTCGGCCGCTCCTTCGACGGAAGAGGCATCGGCCGCTTCCTCGACGAAGGCGCCGGCCGCTTCCTCAACTGAGGAAGCATCGGCCGCTTCCTCAACGGGGGAGGCGTCGGCCGCTCCCTCGACGGAGGAGGCGTCGGCCGCTCCCTCGACGGAGGAGGCATCGGCCATTTCCTCGACGGAGGAGGCATCGGTCGCTCCCTCGACGGAGGAGGCGTCGGCCACTACCTCGACGGAGGAGGCGTCGGTCGCTTCCTCGACGGAGGAAGCATCGGCCGTTCCCTCGACGGAGGAGGCATCGGCCACTACTTGTTCATCAGGCTCATCTTGAGTGTCATGGGGGTCACCAAGAGTATCTTTAGCATTGTCGGCTGGGATTTTTTCAAAGCCATCCAAGTTAAAAGAAGAACTCGCAACGTCATTCAAGCCAGCAAGAAGGTTTTCAGAGTTCTCATGGCCTTCAGCGTCATCCAAGCTGGGAGAAGAGTCTGCAGCGTCATGCATGCCAACACTAACATTTTCAGACTCAAAACGGTCACCAGCGTCACCAACGCCGGCAGCAGGTACTTCAGAGCCATCCAAAACAGCAGGTGAATCTTCAGCTCCATTCAAGTGAACAGGTGAATCTTCGGACCTCTCCAAGTCAGCACGCGCATCTTCGGTGTCAGCAGGCAAATTCCCAGAGTCATCCAAGTCAGCAGGTGAATCTCCAGAATCACCCAAGTTCGAAGGAGAATCTTCAGAGCCATTTAAGTCAGCAGGTGGATTTCCAGAGCCATCCAATTCAGCAGGAAAAGCTTCCGGGTTATTGCTGTCTTCATTGTCATCCAAGTCGGCACGAGGGGCTTTGGAATCCTGGGGTGTAGGTTCTTCATAGTCGTTAACAGAGGAAGAAGTGATTCCAGAGTCATCTGTATAATCCGGAAGATCTTTGAAGCCATCGTGGTATTCGGTGTAATCCCCATCTGTACTAGAATTTTCAGGGCCATCCGCGCTCGCAATAACTTCTTCAAAGTCATCATGAATATTAGAGTCAGAAACTTGTAAGTCGGCGGAATAATCCTCGGAGACGTTGAGGGTAGCGGCAGAGCCATCAGAGTCTTTCACATGGTCAAGGCCATCACAGTCATCAAGACTGGCGGACAAGTCTTTGGACTCGTTCCCGTTCACAGGAGAATTTTCAGAAGTGACATCCAAATCAAGAGCGGAATCATCGGAGTTGTCAGCATTGATGGGAGAGTCTCCCGACCCATCTAAGGCTGCGGAGGAACCTTGAGAGTCCTGTGAGTCGATTGGGGAATCTTCAGACTCATCCAAGTCGTCGCGAGAGTGGTCAGAAGCGTCGACATGGACAGGAAAAACTTCACCAGCCAAAACGATAGGATCGTTTTCGAAGTCATCCAGGTCAGTTGAACTATCAACTGAATCTTCCAGAACGTCCACAGGAGAGTCTACCCGGTTATCCAATTCCATCTTAGGATCTTCGGAATCATCCAAGTTGTCCGAAGAGTCGTCAGTATCCTCCTGGGACATGAGTGATACTTTCGACGGGGTGGTGGCTGCGTCATCCAAGTTGTCCGAACAGTCGTCAGTATCCTCTTGGGACATGAGTGATACCGTCGACGGGGTGGTGGCTGCGTCATCCAAGTTGTCCGAAGAGTCGTCAGTATCCTCCTGGGACATAAGTGGTACTGTCGACGGGGTGGTGGCTGCGTCATCGATGAGTTCGTCGGAAAAGACGTCAGGTTCTTCCATGTCCATTGGAGGCTGAGCAACCTTTTCTTGTGGCTGAGGGAGTCCTTCCTCGGCTGTGGTCGTACCGTCTGATGACGTCGGGGAGCCCATGGGGTCTTTTACGATAGGGGGAAAATAACTGTGGCCTTGTACGGAGGCAGGAGTGGGTTTCTTGTCTTTCTTGGCGATATAAGTACTTGCAACCTTTTGGTTCGTCTTGACCACGGAATGCACATTATAACCTTTCAATGAAGTATAAGAGCTTTTGGTTCTTTTCCCGGTGACAAAATGGTCCTTGGATTGAACAGGAAGTGTGGGGTTTGATCTCATAGGAGCTATAGCCTTCTGAGCTGGCGCGGTGTCGAGTTTGATATTCGCTGGTACGGCGGGATAACTAAAATGGTTGATATTTCCTGCAACAAGGTTATATCGGTTGAAAGGTGGATGGGATTTGCGAAACTGGACGGAATTGACAATAGGTGTGTAAGCTTGCTGGGAAATACGAGGATAAGACTTGGGTTGTATGACAGGAGAACTGTAGGGTCGGGTATGGACGAGAGCGGGCCCTTTTTTGCCTAAAGCAAAGCGGGGGGTGGGGGGCAAGTATAGCGAACCGAGACTGCGGCGCGGCGGGTGTGGAATAAAGAAATACGGCTGACGGGCAGGAGCTTTCAGAAGAGACACAGAGCTCTGTGGGACGCGAGGGAGTAAATTATGTTTGCCTCGCAGGCTCCAGAGAGGAAATAGGATATCTCGAGGTGGCCAGACTTGACCCTGACCTTTGCGGCCAGTGGTTGGATGGCGTTGCAAAGTACGGAGTAAGTAGCGTTGGCGTTGGCGCTGGCGCTGGGTGATTTGATGCGTCAAGAGCTGTGGCGTCGGACGGCTACGAGCCAAATACGTCGGACCCGCGACGAGCGGAAGCCGAGGAGCCCGACGCAAGGCGAGGGGAGCCGAAATGGACCCCTTCAGACCACGTCGATGAAGCTGCAGCAGCCGCAGGACACCCACAGTGGGAGCAGCGCGCGGCAGGAGCACGCCGCGCCTGCCGGGCCGCCGTGAGGTACTGGCGACACGAGACAGCAGCACCGGCGGCCGGCGCCAGACCGGCGCTGGAGCACAGCCCGCAGGCCGCGAGCACGGCACCCCAGTCAGCCAGCGCTGGGCCCAGCCGGCAGAGCACACCAGCGTCAGCACCAGCAGCGAACGCATACTGCTGGCGCCGCCACAGCGCGGTCACAATGTGCGCGTACGAGCACCGTCCCGACCGTCTTATATGCCGTGTGGCCATTTTTTGCGTATGCGTCGCGAACGTGAGGAGAACGGACCGGTTTACGCATGTAATCGGCCAATTGTACGCGTGGTCCAACGCTAGGATCGATGCAGAGGAAAAATGGCTGTACTGCAGCGTGGCGGAGTGAGGCGAAAGTGTATGGAGCAACACACGCCAAATTTATGCAGCAGAAGCCATTGGAGCCCCAAAACTTCCTTGCGTGCTTCTGATTAGCACGCGTCAAGGGTCAGATACACAGCAGTGGTCGATCGCATTAGCCCTTTCGCAATTGCATCGGATGTAATCGCCGCATATTGCTTGCAAGCCTGTTCTAGTTACGGTGCAAGTATTAGGCGACATTGTGATTGAGTACGCCCCGTGCTGAAATCAAGTGAATATGCTGGTGCATAGATAATATATATATATATATATATATATATATATAGATGTGTGTATATGTGCGTATATATGTATATATATATATATACATATATATATATATATATATATATATATATATATATATATATAACCGATCAAACCAGCAATTGGTTAAAATGGTACAAAATGATGCGAATTGTACGGAGGGCTATCGGCATTAATGCTTACAGGCCAAAAGAGTAAAAAATAATGTTACTAGCTTCATAAAATTAGCCCACCACACCTTTGAAATGCTTGCCGCGCGGTGGATTATATTTTGCCCAACTACGACCATTGCTGTAGAAGTATCCACCGGTGCGGTGTGTAATAGCTGGTATTTACTCAGTCCAAGAGAACCGTTTCATCTTGTCTGGTGTCCCCGTCTTCCAGTCTGTTCTAGAAATTCATTAAACTTGCTTCATGCCACGGGCATACGTAAGGGCTTAACCGGAACCCAATGAAGTATCAGGAAAGCGCTAAAAGACGGCATCCAAATACAGACCATCCACGGAAATGGGAGCTCTCGTGACAATACTGGCGATATCCACGAATAGTATAACTAACTGTTGTAATAGTGATTGTTGCGTCGCGAGCGTTAACCTAAAATTGTTCCATCACACAGGTTATAATCTGAGGCCTCTCAAAGCTTGAATAGAACCACGGTCGCAAGCCACGTAAGCTTACTCTAAGAACTGCCACCCGTTTAACCACTGCGCGTAGTTACTTGAACGTTTGTTGCGCTGCCTAGATTTGGACATTTGCACAAAGTATGATCAGGCGTGCTATTTATCGTAAACATGGCAACTTGAAAAATTTGACACTCCAACCTGTTAACAAACACCTTAATTTAACCCTCAACCTAAAAAGGGTTAATCCTTGACGTTATCCCGGTATCCGCGCAGATAACCATGGCAGTCGACGTGCCCTTAAAGCGCAATGACTTATGCTAACCTGTTTAAACTACCACTGTGAAAAACTAACTGCGGCAAATCTGCATGACAGAGGTGGCCAGTGGACTTGCAGCCGGCTCTGGGTCGCGATGAAGCGACACCCACGCTGACTGAGGGGGACGATGGGACACCGATCTGACCGGCGCTGTCTGACGAAACAGAGGGTGGGACACCGTTCTGACCAGCGCCGCCTGACGGGGCAGAGGATGGGACACAGATCTGACCAGCGCTGTCTGACGGAACGGAGGGTGGGACACCGTTCTGACCAGCGCCGTCTGACGGGGCAGGGGATGTGAAGATGTTCAGCTGAACAAGCGAGTAGACGCCTGCGGCCGTGGCGCGCATTCGGTAGCAAGCCGTAGGCTCCCCGTTTTGGGGTATCTCAAGACTTGGCGTTACATCCTGGTGACCAGGGCAGCTTACAAGGTGACATTAATTGCACAGTCCAGGCTAATGTACATGTACAGGCTAATGCACATCCACAAACCACTTCGCGGTATTACCGCGGTTCAACCCATAAGAGCATCATTTCGAAACCAGCCTCGCATACCTTTGCTCACTCACCTCGCATACCTTGCTCACTTTGCACACATGGCCTTTTCACTGTCCTTATCAGAAAATCTGCATGAGACCCAAACGTGTCCGGCTCCACCACTTTCAGTTTTGATCCCACCAACATTATGATAAGAAGTGATAATGATCGCGGCTGACACCGCAGCGCTCGTCCCACGCCGCATAAGGCGATCTACTGCCATCAAAGTAACGCCGTTGACTGAGCATCGTCACAAAATCCG